GGAAATGAAATGTGGCTGGTAGAAAGACAACGAGTATTTTACATGGAAAATGATAATGTTCTGTTACGTCCGTCGTTGATAGATTCCGCCAATAACAAACAAGACAGCTGTAGCTCTAAGAGTCAATCTTTTATAACACTAGAACCCTGATGTTAACCACACACCACTAAATACACACTAGACGTGTTCATAATTCGCAGCCCAGAGTTACTCGGTTCGCATACATTCTCAGTGTCTTAATGAACCGAATTCAGTCAGATCTGGTGTCGTGGTTACCAAACCAAATTCACCTGCGCTTTTTAGCTCCTACCGGTGTGAAGGTTACAGCAAAGAGTGACACTTCATTGGAAGTAACGTGGACGCCCGCATCCACACGCACGACCTCCTACGACTACTCCGTGTACATCAAGTCAAGCGAGATACACCACTGTGGACCCCATACAACTGAAACGTCTTGTACCATCACCTCACTCTCACCATATACGGCCTACAGTGTGGTCGCCAGGTCCTGTTTCAAGCCGACTGGCAATGACGAACGAATTTGTGACGATGCCGAGGAAGTGTCTGACCATACGCTACCAAGTGGTGTGTATTTCATTTCTATATATTCAGTTATGATTTTGGACTCGATAATAATAGACTGTCATTACGAAGCATCGCTAAAAGTTAATGTTTAAACATCAGGCAGACAATGGACAGATGTTTAGTTTGGAAATTTACACTTAACGTTTAGTCAGGTAAACCTATCTAACGTGGACGCACACAGATTCAATCACTATTTAACTTGCGAATGCTTCATTTCAAGTTATTTACGATTTTAGCAGAGGTGATAATATGTGTGTAACACGGGCTCACAATTGCACTGAACTTGTACTTAGGAACCGCGACATAAAATTCGCAAATAATCCATGCCCATTTTAATTCTCTACGCCTATTTGAGTTTATGTAATTTACTGGGCAAAAATGAATGGACAAAATCATGGTGATTGTTGGGTGATCAATCTAATTTTCACGGATGCAAGTACAAGTTTGTCTCGGTTAAAAGGCCAAACGCTGAAAAAGAATGTTGGGAGATGGTTTTAGTGTAAACACAAACTCATAGCTATTTTAACTGGGAATAAAAACAATTCGTCTTAAAGCCCACTGTTTCTACAGTGGTTAATAATTGAAATTAGGGATTACCTGGATCTGCCAATAGGAGCATGTCAACGACCAATTAAAGGTTCTAATCGTAGCCTTCAAGGAAATACAGCTCACATGTTGTCCAATCACAAGTGAAAGAATATTCCTTAAGGGCAGTTTGACTGTCGCGATGACGGTCTTTCAATAAACCCCATGGTCTGATTTGTTGTTATTCTTGCCTTTTTGTACATTCCAGCGCCACTGGGTGTGAAAGGGGCTGCCATCGATGCGGAAAACTGTGAAATCGTTACTGGCATCGCTGATTTATTTTAGGCCTAGAGCACCAGCCAATGTCTTGCAAACTCAAGAGACTTAAAGTGTCTGGTTATAAAATCTGAGGGAGAATTTAAGAAAACGGAAAAAGAAAGTAAAACAAGAAAAGTTACAAATTTAATTCGACTTAATCCCTATGGAATTAGGCACTGCAACTTAAACTCGTTCTGAATGATTTTAGCCCCTGTCAATTTGAGGCTTCAAGCAGTGACTAGCACTACAGTTGAAGCCTCGTGGAGTTGCTTGCAAGAAGACAATGGTCCAGAACCATTCCTGTATACTCTCTCCACTTCTGACGGCCAAAGCTGTTCAGGAAGCTGTACTTCTGGACACGTTTCGTGCACTGTAAAAAACCTGCTCGGGAACACTCCTTACAACCTTACTGTTAAAGCTTGTGATCGAAATTCTCCACCGCGTTGCAGTAGTCCGTCAACGGAACTCTCAGCTTGTACTAAGTCAAAACGTGAGTGTGTCTTGCTTGTCTTGTTGGAAAAAGGCATTAATCCTTGCTGCACCGATTACTCCAAATCGGTCAGATTCGCCAACCAAATCTCAGTGGGGTGGTGTGTGCTAGGAAAAAGCATTCAATAATGAGAGTATGTGCCCAGTAATGTAAAAAAAACATTTGATTGTTACATATATGTCAACGTTATTTTAGGGCTTATTGATTTTTCAGTTTCCTGAGTCAATCAAATGACCTATTAATTGCGGATCGACACGGTCATCATTTAGCCAGCTAATTAT